GTAAGGGGGAGGTTCAATTTGCCATGTTGCAAGAAGAGCTTAACTTCTGTCTCGCTAGCTTGCCCTGCGCTCTTCCTTCTGACAATGCTGTCTGTGTTGAACGCTCAGTGGATCTGCGCTCGACAGTGCAGCCTAGGTGGAATAGTCGAACGCAGATTCACCAAGCGCTCAACACAGACAGCATCGTCAGAAGGAAAGTTGATAAAATAAATTACAAATTTTGTATTGTTCGATACATATGCGTACCGAACCGAAAGCACTGTATCGAACGGTTCAATATCGATACGAGTATCGTTGCACCCCTAATATTTAGATTGTACTCTTACAGCCTTTCTTTCATTTTTTTCATGACAATGATGATGACATAAGAGTTTATTTAAAAAATTAAAATGTTGAAATGATACAAACACGTAAACGAAACATAAGGAAAATGTTAACGAAACATTTATTTTTCTTATTATTATTTGTGTGTTTGTATAACTATATATCTAGATATTTACGTACACTCACTGGCCACTTCAATACTTACACCTTGCTAGCAGCTGTGTTTTGAAAAAAAATATATTTATATTATGTGTAAGTATATTTGCCTGAATTGATAAATAGCCTACAGTAAACAGGCATTATGAAGGGGTTATATGTAAAATAAAGAAATGACCTATTTTGGAAGAATTTTTATTCCATGAACTGTGTGGAAGGCAAACTATGGACCCGGATGCAGGACTTGGGAGACACAAAAAGCTTTAATGCTCATAATAATATAAAGAAGTCCAGAACAATCGCAGGACAGACACAGAGAATCCAAATATCAGGAATCTTTAGGGAATGACAGGGCAAGACAGTGCATGAATACAATAATAGGGTAAGAACATGATGATTTTGGTAATTTGATAAGTGTTATTAATATAATTATGAGTAATTCATTCATCTAAACCCCTGGGGCTGATCTGGCTGGTAAATCAAACTAAATGTGGCTGGATTCATGCAGTATAGATAAGTTACACCTAGTTGGTTAACCTTAGTGTGCTTGCTTGTTAACATCATTGCACGAAGTACTTTCTCAGACTCAGAAAAAGTATTGATGCTTACTTGCCTACTTTCTACATAACTTGATTCTGTAATTGTAGTTTTTAAAAAGAGGTCTAAAATTAAGACTCAAACGAGAAGCCAACTTTAGAGCACTTATTTACAGCCTTGCAAAAATACTGCACTATCAGTTGAAAAATCCTTCCTGATTTTAACATGATTCGAGTCATGTGGGCACACATGTTTTTTTTCTTCTTTTTATTCTTCTCAAAGTCAGTATAAAAGGCACAGAGAACATCTGTATTTGCTGGCCTGATGAGATAATCTGCTAAGAAGAGAATAAAACAGAGGAGTCAAGGACAGACATGAAGGGAACATTAAAAGACACTGGCTGTAAAAGTTTGGCACTTCTCTTAGAAATCTACCCTCAAGCAGCAATAAAATAGAACACTAATAATAAAACATTTCCTCACCCCTGAATAACTCAGCATTAATAAATATAAGATCTAAGTTCTTTTAAATAATTGCACGATTAGGCTGCTAAAATGGTTCTGAGTTATTTTGAGACCAAATGAAATCTAATTTCACTTCTGTTTGCTGAATCACAAGCGGTGGTTCAGGTCAGTTGGCAGAAATGGTGACAGAGCAATGCTCAAAATGAAAGCACACATCAGTACTCTGTGATTCTAGGCAGATTTTATTTCATTCAGATGGGTGCTTTCCTTTTTTAAGCTCCACTCCTTCAGGTAGTGATCAACAGCAGCATGCAGATCTTTCGTCTTCACAAGCAAATTTCAGTTTCTTTATGCTGCACAGAGGACATTTAAGATACTTAAAATAATTACACATCTACCAAAATACATTGCTGTAACTATTATTTTTGCCATTGTTAGTTTTAATTGATGGTAAAATTTATATAGCGCTTAATAATGCGCAAACGATAATATGGATTTTTATATTAGCCCTCAGGTTCCTATCAACATCTATCTGACAGTAATTTAAAAGTCACAGTAAGAAAAGCTTGGGGGCTGGAACAACATGCTTTTCTGATTAATTTTAATGTAATTTCTTTTTGTTATTACATACAGTGACAGTAGGTTATTTAAAGTTTCGACCACATGCCAATAAAAACACCTGTAAAATGTTTGCTGGCTTTCATTTCACCCACACACTAATGTGTAGGTGCAATTGGGTGTGGAAAAAACAAAAAGGTGCCGCCCTTGCTGTCGTTTTCTCTGTCATTCAATTGTTTAATTAACCCCTTAGCAGTCCTATTAGTCCCCTAAACCATCCAATGTCCCGTGGGCGGTACGTCCGACTGCTAACAGTTTAAAAAACTGACAAGGTTCAGTGGGTGGTTATTAAGGTTGGCAGCCTGTAGCCATGGCACTACAAGAAAGAAAGCAAGAGCTGTTATTTATAGTGTATTCAATACAGAAACACGCACCAGGTACTTTATTACCAACCACTGGATAACGCAAATATCTAACCAGGCAGTCATATAGCAGCAACTCAATGCATTTATGCATGTAGACATGGTCAAGACGACCTGCCCAAGTTGATTCTGAGGATCAGAATGAGGAAAAAAGATAATTTAAGTGAGTTTGAACGTGGCGCGGTTGTTGGTGCCAGAAGGGCTGGTTTGAGTATTTCAGGTATTTTGCCACACAACCTTCTTAAAGGTTTACAGAGAACAGTCTGAAAAAGAGAAAATGTCCAGTGAGCTACCTACCTGAGTATCGTGTCCATCCCTTTATGACCACAGTGTACCATGTTCTGATGGCTGCTTCCAGAAGGATGTTTTATGTACTCACATGGCCTCCACAGTCATCAGATCTCAATCCAATAGAACACCTTTGGGATGAACGGGTAGAAGAGATTCACATCAAGGATGTGCAGCTGTCAAATCTGCAGCAACTATCCGAGGAATGTTTCCAGCATCTAGTTGAATTTATGCCACAAAGAATTAAAGCAGCTCTGACTATGAAAGGGGCCCAACTCAGTACTTGCAAGGTGTGTCCACTGAAGTCGACAGTGAGTGTACGTAATTGTGTTTTTATCATTTATCTAAAATATATTTCTCATTAATCTGAAATGTAAAGTTTTTTTTTCCGAGTTTGTGTTTGTATCAGGCTTTCTGATTTTCTGACATATGCACAAACTCTCTGTAGGCTATTCCTGAGCAATGGCCTTATAGGAATCTCACCACCCATCAGCACAATGCCAGTAAAACCGAAATGTCATCACAACCTAAGATATTATCTTTAAAGCAAAAGTTTACTCACTGATATCCTTTTTTTTTAAAACTTTGTAAATACCTTTATCTTTGCAGATATCAGAGGCTTTTATTTTTTACACAACTCATGTTTGCCTCAGGCAATAACACTGATCGCTCTTTTCTGCAGAACTGATTTGACTTTATGTACTCACACACACGCACACACACACGCACACACACACGCACACACACAGGAGAATGCTCTGGATTGTCAACATTTTAATTTCATGAAAGGTTTTACACTGGAATCATAACATTGGTCTTCTTGGTAAGTTACACCCATCGGAGACTAAAACCTGTTTTTACAGATGATCCTGCTGCAGCATTGAGACATAACCAATCTTTCAACTTTTTTAATCAACCACATTCAGGGATTTATTCTTGGGCTATTTTGGGGTTAGGTGGGATGACGTCCAACATTCATGCTGTTACATGAATACCTGCTTACAATGTGCTGTGCTCACTTTAATAACGACCGACTGGGCATTATTCTTCCCACTACCAAATCAGTTAACCTAATGTACAAGATAATGTGACTGTTGTAATGACCACATCTTAAAATGCAAATTTAATTTCTACCTTAGAAACTGTAGTAGGTCTCTGGAGGTCCTCTGCAGGTTGGTCCTACATTTATTAAGAGGAGCTTACGGTCCTCTTTTACTTCTTACAGTGTGTAGTGTTATATGTCACTATGGATTTTCCCAATACATAGTAACATGTAGCTTACTGGGAATAATACACGTGTAGAGACAGACTGTGTTTTGATCTAAATTACATTTCTGCCTCTTCTTATGTTTTTCAATGAATATCCTACAAGGAATAGCTGAAAATCAGAACAGTCTACATCTGTATCCAAACTTTGCAAAACCTAATATATATCAGATTGAGAGGTAATCAAAAAAGACATTTGTCTGGATTTATATTACTGTTCTATGTTGTCTTCTTTGTTATAACATGTTCAGGCCTACATCACTGACCCTTGGCATCGTGTAATCTCTGACCAAACTGACATGTGGGATCATATTCAGGTAATAAAGCATGCATGAAGCAATGTCCTTATTTACCTTCACAGGAGACAAAGTGGTGTTGTGTCAGTGGTGCTGTACTGGGATACAGTGCATACCTTTGCTTGTGAGTACCCTGCTGCATGTTATCCTTTTCCCATTGATGGGCATCATGGAATATAGCAGTACCATATAGCAGGCACGTTTTTAGCTGCTATATATTTAAACTGTTGTAATGTCTGTGTGCATTTATATGTATTTGTCAGAGACTGATAATTGTTTCTCCTGAAATCCTTTTACTGCTCGCCCTTTCTTTGTTATGCCTGCAGTTCATTATTTTGGGTTCTGTGGATTGTACTCTGTGGAACTCTGAAAGAACAGAAAGGATTATGAAGGCAACAAGACATACCAAACAATCAACGGAGCGATCAAAGATGAATATAAAAGCATGGAGCATGAGCTTCGCTGAGGGCTGTGCGCTTGTTATAGTCACATTTCTGGTTTTGTCTGAGTTGATACTTGGCTGAAACCACTGTGCTCCTTAACAAAGACAAACTCTTGGTACAGTAGTTGTTTATTACACAGCTTTGGATGTGTACCGATCACCAAATAGTGACATCTTGTATCAGTGCAGGCTGTTATTGTATTAACCTGGTAATAATTGCTTCTCTAATCTTTTGGGTTTATTAACACGTTTCTAGGAGCTTTATTTTTAGACCCATTTGCTGAAATAGAATCGTGAAATTAGGCATATGATGTTCTGTGGCCAGAATAAGACCATCATTGTTGCTCTGCACCGTCTCCACTTTACCCTGATGCTGTGGGAAGTCCAGAGGTCACCTAATGAGATCAGTATAGTTGTTTATAACAGGTATAAAGTTATTAACACTTTTATGATAAAAAGATGACTGGCACTTTTTCAGGATCAGATTTTGAAGGTATGAAATCTGACACTGAAGGTTTATCGGCTCTATTTTATATGAGTCTTCCTGTTCACTTGAAATGGAACCATCTTTACATTTGTGCTTTCATTTGCAGAGTCACACTGACACGGTCATAATGAAGAAACAAAAGCACAAGTCAGCTTGTTTTAGGAGGATAAGAGGAGGGATGCTAAAGTAAGAAGACTTTTCATACTGCGATTATACATGCAGCACAAAGGAAAGTGTGCTTTTCACTGTTGCGTCACAGTTTAACCTCTGTAACCTGTCTCTTAAAGATAAAAACACAGCTTTTTTACGATTTTATGCTGTTTTCTGTAACAGCCAAAGATACAGTCAGTTACTTTTACCGCCTGTGACAACTCATCTCGCTGATTCAGTGGTTTCTAATTATCTTTATACCAACTCCTTGCAGAGATGTAGCCTGATAGCCTCAAGGTCAAGCCTGTGCAGCAGTTCCTGCTGTGCTGTTCATCAGTCAAACTACTTCAGTGTCAAAGATTAATTTTTCTTCCTTGGTAACTTAAGTTGAGCATGTCTTGCTCCTGCTTATGAGCAACAAGGCCTTGGTGCTCCTCAAAAAGCTGAAACATCAGTGTGTTTTGCACACAGAAGGGTGACATAATGATTAACACACACTTGGTTTAAAAGGTGTGATGCAGACTTTCGGGTGCCAATAGTCCATTAGTCACTTTGGGAAAGTGGAAAAACCTGTTGAAGTACAAACCAAGTTACAACAACACATTAAAGCATTCTTGTGTTTCATCTTTGCGAAATACATTCATTATCAGGAGACAATATAGAGGAAGGCTTTCGGACAGAAAATAAACAGCTATCGAGGTGCTTTTGATGTTATTGTATTTCTTTGTCTCCTTGTTCTTGTCGTGGTTCCACGGAGCATCCTTTATGCTCCGCTGAAGATGATTTGCATTTGCCAGATGTTCAGCAAGACCATATTTTTATAAAGATAATGCAGTCTATTAATATTTGGATGTTGGGATCAAGAAGTCTGAAATTCCACTGTGGATTGAAGAAAGAAGAAAAAGAAAGAGATTAATCTCTTTGGCATTTCTACATTGCTGTGTGTGTGCTGGTGGCCACATTCACTGAACGTTCCAGCAGTGTTGTTTCCATCAAGGTCTTTGTACTAATACTGGCCTTCATGGTGAGACACAACATGACACTAACAAGAACAAGAAGAAGAAGAATATCATGAAAACCTTTCAAACAAGCCCACAACATGGTGAATATCACTCTCAGAGGCAGAGATACAAATCTCTTATATCTTTAACCTTTAAATGTATTAAAACTTCAATAAGTTCATCTTGGTTTTGGTCATTTGTGACTTAAAAAAAATGTATTGCAAAACAAAAAGCTTTACAGCCTGGCCATGTACATCATTTGGCTGTGATAGTATTTTAATGTTTGTATAGATTTACATACAAAGCTCTATAAGTGAGCATGTTGATATGCACACAGGGTTTTGGATAAAGATTATATCCAATTTTTTGATAAGCAGCTTATATTAATCCTCATATATCTGATCTTTATTATCTAATTGCATGGCCATAATATCCTGAATATTACCATGGAAACTGATCTCAGGAAGCTTAAGCAGCAAATGCAATGTGAACGTGCCTCCGTGGTTTGATAAATTGCCATCGATCTTATTAGAAAGCTGATGGTGTTAACAAAACATTGCATTGTCTCGGGTCAAGCACTAGACATAATTTGTTTTCTTCGAGCGAAGGCAGCAATCATCCCGCTGGAGTCATAACAGCCATCATAACCACTAACGCGGGGAACATAGCCACGTTTCAGCTGAGTGTATTTCCAAGCTGGGCCAATATTAGCAGTACTAATTATTTGAAAAACATCTCCTACTTTTGCAGGACTGCAACAACGAGGCTTGCAGCTGTCTTTGTAGTTCTAATCAAAGCTCCTTCGTGTGGCCTGATAGCCACTGAGGCCTCTTACTGAGTGACAACACTCAATCCATTTTCAAATTTTCTGTTTTACAACAAGCAGGTTACAAACTTACAAAGTAAATAACAAACAGTTCTTTACTTGTATTTATGAGCAGAAAAAATAATTTATTTGTGCAGGTATAAAACTGCATTCAGTTTGTTATTTGCCTAACCTGGTAAACATAGTTTTGATATAGTTGATATATATATGAAAATGAAGTAGATTGTTAATTTTAATGTTTTTGATTTTAGATATAGGGGATTTGTGTAATCTTTATTACTCATATTATGAACAATCCCCCTTTTTTTGCAATATAGATAATGATTTTAGGGTTAGCCCCAATTTAAGCACGGTGAAATCAGTGAAAAATAGAGAACATGGAGCAAAATGTGGCCCGTAAAATATCTTAATTCACTCAATATTGAAATGCTTTTTGAAATGTTATGTTGGCTGTATTTTAGATTGGCTCTTTCAATGTCCATAACATCGATATGAATTTGCACTTGATTCCCAAGCAGCATCGTTTTAGTTTATTTTGATTTAATGATACTTCATTGACCCTTAATTGGATGAGCAGAACAGAATGAATAGATGGATGGATATTTTATTGTCTTATAATTTTATACATCTTACATAATGGTTCACATTAGGTCTACTGACAGGATATCTACATAAAAATGGCTTCATGGGGATTGCTGTTCCTCTGTTCAACCTCAGTACAAATTGTGTTTTTGGTATTAAGCATACATGTGAAACTACAATTCTGTCAGTATGGTTAGATTGTGCACATGGTAGTGCACAGAAATGTGATAATCAAACTTTTGATTATTTGATCAAAGGTAGAATATTCAACTTACTTAAAGAAAGCACATCTTTACAATAGCGACACTGCAGATCCAAGAGTTGTAGTTACTTTTAAATCTAATGATGGGCTCAAATCTCATTGCCATCTATAGGATTATGACCACTGACCCCTTGGCTGATTTAAGGAGAGCCATGGGAACAGGAGGCAAATCCTTTCAAGGGGTCATGTGGGAGAAATTCAAAATGATTGAAGGTCGGTAAAATCTATTATATGACGCTGATTGAAAACATTTCATTGAACCTCTTGGCAGGGGGCCTTATATCTGCTGTATGTGAAGGCATGGGGCAAAAAGGACTTTAAAATGGTGGAAGCAGAAAACTCAAAGGGTCAAAGGAGTAAGCAGGTATGAAGCCCAGAAGATTTTTATTTAATCTACAGACCATGCTCCTGGTAAAGGCTGGACGACAGCATCACACAAAGGAAAATCTATCACTCGCTCTCAGGGATTTGATTCTCACAGTTATGGAGGTTCAAGAAGGTCCAACTGATGTCAGCTATCAGAGGTAAGACTCAACATTTATGCCTTTATATAGGATGTGAGGGGTTATTACACCACTCACATCCCAGTGTTGTGTTTTGTGCCCTGTAATGCTGCAGTACAGCTGGGTTATCCCAAGACTCAAGCTACTGATCATGTAATAATAAGTGAGAAGAGAATCAATATGATGCATAATGATCTGAAATGCAAGTGGAAAGCTTTACTGCTTTAATGCACCTCTGATTTTTAATAACTGGTCATGAAATGGTAATTTCTTTCAAGAACAGTCATTTGGAGAAACAGCTGCACATTTTATTATTCAATATCCCTGGGATACCAACTGTAATTACTGAATTCATTTAAGTGCACACTGAGCCATAAATGTGAAGTACTCTGTGATAAAGCTCGCTGCCTCAGGCACTCTGAATGTTTTCCTGAGTTTTTAAAGGCCATTCATAAATCATTATTTCTAATGTGGAATTTCAGCTCTATTCTCACTTTATCGCACACACCCCTGTGTGCGATAAAGTGCTGTGTACTGTGTACTGACACGTGTGTAGCTTCAAATGCTTAAATTAAACAGGATGGCTAAGCTGTAGATCTGAGGAAGAAAATATAGTCGATGGCCTGGTGTTATAACGTCCACTTTGGGAAGAGCACGTGCAGCCACACCATTAAAGGTCCACCCTATAATAGTCCTGATTTGTTAATGATCACACATATTTCATGCTTACTGTAATAAAGGAGGTCTGCTATCAGGTAAAGTTCTGCTTAGATTTAGCTGTATACATTGTTCTTGTAGCTTTAAGGATTACTCTCAGCACATGTAAATACACTATGGTTTTCACGTTTCAGCCACTTTCCCCCAACATTCCTTATCTCTCTTTATCGTTTGTGAATAAAGAGTCAAATGCCCAATTTGTCAGTTTGA